ATCAATGGGAACCTAAGAATCATAGGTTTTGCTTTTATTTTATTTTCAAAGATTTTCAGAACATAAAGTTTCCTAAAAGCCCTTTCTTAAGGAATCACGCAATAATAGAAGTTTAGGAGAACTGTGTTTTGTGAATAGTAAAGTCTTGTAGAGTGATTAGGAAAATACCGACTTTAAGACACAAACCTACCCTGAATGTAATTTCAGTGCAGAGCAATTCATAACACTGTATTTTAGGATGTAAGTCTGTCTTCTAGTTATTAAGTCACTGTTCGAGTCAGATATACAGTGGTTGACTGATCAGACTTCAAATCCCTCAACATCTGCATAGTACCTGTTGGCATATAGTCTTTAATGAATAAATATGCAGTCCTTCAGTGGGAAGATAGAAGGTGGGGAGGGAGGGAGGAAGGGAGGAGGGATGGAAGGACATCACCCATTGTGTTTGAGGGATAACACAGTTATCAGATAAGGACGTTGAGTATCTGGATTTAACTTACATGTCAGTTCTGGGTTATGTTACATAAACACACACCATCAGGCTGCCTATTTCTGCTAAACGTGGAGGTTATTGTATAGTTTGGTACAGTTTTAGTTCTGCCTTTCTCAATCTCAGGCATGTTAATAGTCCTTTAGAAATCATGCTATATTACTTTGGAGGAAAATACTTCCAACGAAATAAGTGTAAATACTAGAAAATTAGTCCCATCAAAACATCATTTTTCTGCGTCAGTCACCTAATTTCTCACACAGTGCACATCATTCTAACGTCGTCATGAATCCACATCAACCCAGATCCTGACTTTGCAGATACCGAAACAACGTAGCCCTGGGGCTGTGTACAGGAAGCCAAAAGGAAGCCATGTGTGCTGCCACATGTTCCCACGTTATCTCCCTCTTGTGAGCAGCAGTCAGTCTTTGATTAACAATTGCAAATGACCCAAATGGAGAGAGAAAACACTCGAGAAAGCTATGAAAAGCTTCAGTGTCTGGCTGAGCCCTGAGGGGCATCCTAGGTTGGATGCATTGGCCACAAGGACAGGACGTAATGGTTGGGAGGCTGATGCTGACACCAGCATAGGAGGATTTCCAGGCAAGTGAAAAATGGGCGTGACTGCAACACAGAGACCTCCAAAAGACCTGCCCTGGGCATTGGTGGAGTCAGTGCGGTGAAACTGTCATGCGGAGCTGAAAAAACAAGAATAACAAGGAGTTTTCCTGTTTCTCCATTTCTCATCTATCTGGGTTTAGAGTTGGGTGGCAGCCAGCTTTTAAGCGAATGTGGTAAAATTTTCCGATGATGTTATTTAAGAAGAAAGAAAAGAAGAAGCTTGCCTGGAACTGTACACTGCCGAGGCCACGAGAGTTTAGCACTGCCCTGTGATGCTTTCATCCAGGAAATTTACTTCTACTTTCCTCGGTTTCATTAACTGACCTGTGGCTTTAGCAAACCGCTTTTAACACCAGACCCTATTACAGGAGTTGCCGAGAGACAAATCAAACCACATGTTTACAGTTTATTAACTCTGAGAGTCCTGTGCTGGTACATTCATGTGCTAAGTAGGAGGCTAGAAGGTCCCCGCAACTCAGGCAGCTGTTCACCACCAGGTAAGACAGTCTCTCAAGGCACGTGGCAGTGTTCACATTCAGCAACAGCCGTTCACTTCTTCAAGGTTCCTTGGTGGGATCCAGGACCATGAAGGACACCAAAGAGGTCTTGGACACCCTCCTACTTGGACACCCTGCTAGTTGACGCAGTTCTTTGTGATTTTTCGAGTTCTGTCCATCTGTCGGATGCTGTCTGTAACGTTAATGGTGACTTCTTTAGCAGACATTCTCTTAGCATCTCTTTTAGTCTGTTAAAAAGTTTAAAACAGTGACTTGAGTTATAAGGAAATAGCCAAAGTTCCTCTCATTTGTATTAATCTCACACACAGACACACACACAGAGGCAGGAAGAATGACCCATAAGTGCACATACACATATGCTCCATTTCGAAGGTTTCTCTGTTGACTGTAATACCAGCCTAGTGCAGAGCCTGGGTAAGGTGTACTCAGTAAAACATTGACAAATGACAGGACTGGTAAATGGCTTAATGGTTACGTCGCTAGGTTCCTACATGGCTGACTGTGGTTTGAGTCCCAGACCCGGAGGCTTGAAACTCATGCCAGACATATGTGTGTGTATGCCCAAGATCCCGAAAGGAGAACGGAGGAGAAGGGATTGTGGCATGAACATCCCCCCTAGGGGCTGATTTCTCACTTTCTGTCTCTGTCTCTGTCTCTCCAGCGAGCACACAGCCCTATAGAAAAAATCTCTCCAAAAAATAAAAATTGTCAAATTAAAGAATGAATTAGCTCAGGTTCATCAAAGAGTAAGATCTGTGAAAGGTCCCTCAGTTGGCTTTAGTAGAGTGGGTATGGGTTTGAGCTGTGGAGTCAGTCAGACTTTATTTCAAATACTGCCTATAGAATTTCATTATGTGCAAGTTTTTTCCAACCTCTCTAACCCTTAATTTCCTCATCTGCACAATGGGGAATAATAATATTATCTACTTCCTAAGGTTATTGTAAGAATTAGATAAGATACTTAGCACAGTGCAAAAATAAACAAATAAATAAATAAAATTTAAAAATTAAAAAAAAAAACAAAGCAAAACAAAACAAAAAAAACCCCCACAGAAACAAAACCAGACTAGACTACCTTTAAATGAAGATAAACCAATGGTAAAAGTCCAGAATTAAAGCATTAATTGAACCGTAATTCTTTTTTTTTTTTTTTTTTTGAGAGATTTTCACTGTAGGGCGCGTGCGCTCGCCAGACAGACAGAGAGAGACATAGAGACAGAAAGCGAGAAATCACCCCCCAGGGGGGATGGTCACAATCCCTTCTCTTCCATTCTCCTCTTGGGATCTTGGGCACGCACGCACCCGCGCCCGGCGTGAGTTTTAAGCCACCGGGTCCGGGACACGAACCGCAGTCGACTACGTGGGAGTCCAGCGACATAGCCATTACGCTAACTGCTGGTTCCCATGAACCGTAATTCTTCAACTCTATGTACCCAGTCCTCTAGTCCCCACTTCCTCCAAAGAAAATGACTATAACTAGTGGGGCAGGAGGAGACAATTTTGCACCTATTGTACTCAATGATCATATACTTGGAGTGAGCATCGGTGGCCTTGGGAGTCATTTGTTTTGACCAGGGATAGACACATATACCTGCCACTGCCCAGTCCCCATTCCAGGAAGGACTTGCTCTCTAGTTGTAGAGAGTACAGTCAGCAAATAACCTCCAGTTGTCCCTTTGGGGTGGCCTTAGCTGCAAAGAAGCACTATTCTCAGAACATGTACTTACCAAGATGGCTCAATATGGGGGGTAAATACAGAGATATAAAGATCTAGCCACTTGAGCCCAAAACAGATCAGCTCAGACAAGCCATTTAGCTACAGAGCTCCCTATGGAAGGAGAGTCGGCTAAGGTTGTTGTTAGCCTGCTCTGTGGCTCAGTTTCCCTCTTAACCCATCCCTGCTTCCATTTCCCCCTGCCTTCCACAAGTATTGAACCCAAAGGCATTTCCTAATGAATATCCTATATTGTGGTATTTCCCAGTTTGCTTTCTAGAAGCATTAGTCAGCCTCAGATCCTTTGGGAATATCTCTCAGAGCGAGAGCATCTCATGTGGGGCAGAAGTCAGGTGTTGATAGATGCAAATTTTTCACACAACATAACCCTTGAACACAAGCCAACTACTTTATCTGCAATGCACCTAAGAAATAGTAAATTATTGCACCACTGGAGAAAAATAAATTGCTCTGTCATTTGAGTTTTCCAAAAGTTTGTGGAAAATAAGAATTATCAGAAAAAATGATGCATGGATTTCAATATTTTTCCCACCAAAATAAAGTCATACTAACTTGTTGTAACATGACAGAATGGGGTCTAGTTTGAGGCACTAACAAGGATAAGACATCAGTTTAAAAAAAGAGCCCTTACCAAAGTAACATTAATTTTGCTAAAATCAAAGCAAGCAAAAAACATCAATTTATGGGAAGCTTGAATGGAAGAATGTGAAATTATTTTTAAAATAATTATTTTATTTAATTTTATTTATTATTATTATTATTTAATTTGACCAGAGAGAGAGGGAAATTGAGAAAGTAAGCCACCAGATCCAGGACTTAAACTGCAGTTAGCTATGTGGGAGTTTGCCCCAATACCACGACACCTGCTGGTACCAGAATGTGCCATTATTGTCTTACCAAAAGTCTATAGGGGTAATGTCCCAAATACATCAGCAGTTTACAAATGGTTAACTCGTTTTAAGAAGGGACATGATGTTGAAGATGATGCCTGCAGCAGCAGACCATCCACATCAGTTTGTGAGGAAAAGATTAATCTTGTTTGTGCCCTAATTGAAGAGTATCAATGATTAATAGCAGAAACAAGAGCCAACACCATGGATATTTCAATTGGTTTAGTTTACACAATTTGGACTGAAAAGTTGAAGTTGAACAAACTTTCTGCTAAATGGATGTCAAAACTGTTGTGTCCGCATCAGCCACAGATAAGAGCAGACCTATCAATGGAAACTCTAAGCAAATACCATCAAGATCCTGAAGCATTTCTTCGAAGAACTGTAATGGGAGAAAGAGAGAGGGGATGCGACACTTGGCTCTAAAGGCATTTCTAAGCACTGTGTACCGAGAGGTGGAAGTGGTCCAGTCAAAGCAAAAGTGGACCAGTCAAGAGCAAAGGTCATAGCAACAGTTTGTTGGGATGCTCAAGGCATTTTGCTTGCTGACTTTCTCAGGGGCCAAAGAATGATATCTGCTTATTATGACAGTGTTTTGTTTGTTTTTAATTTGCCAGAGGGCATGTGCAGTGGCCAGAGAGAAACAGAGAAACAAAAAGAGGGAGAAGGCACCACCCAATGGGGCGTGGTCATGCCACAATCCCTTCTCTTCCATTACTCCATCCTGTTGAGACTTGGGACAAATGTACACATGTACCCAGAATGTTTTTTAAGATGCAGGGCCTGGGATTCAAACTGTGCAGTCAGCCATTTGTGATCCAGCTCCCTTAACCACTAGGCCACTGGGACAGATCTATGAGTGTGTTTTGAGAAAGTTAGTGAAGCTTTAGAAGAAAAATACCCAGGTAAACTTTATCAGAGTCTTTCTTCACCCCTACAATATTGCTTACCTTCCTCACCGAGAAAAAAATAATTCTATGAAAGTTTCTATGGGAAATCAATAGGAAACCATTTTATAGTCCCAATTTGGCTCCTTCTATTTCTTTTTGTTTTGTAATCTTAAAAAAAAAAAAACTTTAAAAGACACCATTTTTCTTTAGCTAATCATGTACAAAGACTGCACTGATATAGTTAAATTCCTAGGACCCTCTGTTCTTTCAGGATGGACTAAATGGCTTGTATCATCACTTACAGAAGTATCTTAAACTTGATGAAACTTTATGTGAAGAAATAACATTTGTATTTTTATTTTTATCATTAAAAAAAAAATTACCAGAGGGCACGTGTGCTTGCCAGAGAGAGGGAGAGAGAGAGGGAAAGTGAGAAAGCATTCCCATTGGGGGATGGGCATGCTGCAATTCCTTTTTCTCCATTTCCCCTTTTGGGATGTTGGGCATGCACACACAAGAACCCAATGAGTTTTTCAGTCAGCTATGTGGGATCTAGCTGCTCCAGCTACCATGCCATGGACTGGGCTCTATTTTAGTCTTTTAATTTCATTTTTATTTTTCACAAACTTTTTGAAATCTCCTTGAATGAATGAATGAATTTATTTATTTATGTATTTATTGGACAGGTTTTTGCTATAGGACACATGCGCTTGCCAGAAAGACAGTGAGAGACAGAGAGGCAGAAAGGGAGATATCACCCCCCAGGGGGGATGGCCACGCTGCAATCCCTTCTCCTCCGTTCTCCTCTCGGGATCTTGGGCACACACACACACACACGCCCGGCGTGAGTTTAAGCCACTGGGTCCAGGACTCAAATCATGGTCGACTACATGGGAGTCCAGTGACGTAGCCATTACACTAACTGCTGGTCCCATCTCCTTGAATTTATTAACAACTGATATGTAGGTTTCTAATATGTCACATAAATTCTGTGTCCCTATGGGGAGAGGCAATGTCTGTCTTCAGATTCCCTTTACTGGACTGGTGTACCCATTCCCCCAATTGCTGTGGGTGCTAGCTGCTAACTGCTCCCAGCAGCACCTTCTTTTGAAGATTTCCACAAAAATTCTTAAAACTTTATTCTCTTCACTGAAAAAGGAGAATTTTTTGAGTTTCTATGTGAAACTCTCACAAAATTATGATTGGGAGTCACCTTCCCCAGAAACGCCAAAGAAGTGCTGCCCTAATTCCTGGAGAGGACTCATCGCCCATGCCCTTTGGCCTCAAGGAGGTGCAGATCTACAGTGCCATGCATGTGCTGGTGCTCCCTATGGATCCGGGTGAGGCTAGACCACAGCCATTCTGGATAGTTCACATATCAGCTGAACTTGATCCTCTGCCAGTCCCACTTCTTCTACCACCTTACAGGTTTTACCTTAGAATACTTTTTCGATTACTTGCAAAAGAATCCTTGTGTCAGGCTCTTCAAGGGAACCTAACTAAAGATAATACTTTATGGGTGACCTGAAGGATGTTCAAAGATGATTTTGACTACATAATTTTAGCCTGGTCTCTTAGTTTCATGAGATAGGATTTAATTGTTTCTCTCTTTAGTTTCCCAGTGCCTAGCACAGTTCTAAGACATATAGACTCAATTAACTTTAGCTGAATGAAGGACTAAGCCCATTGCCTTTGTCAGTGTACCCTTACTT